ACCTGCGCACTAAAACAAAAACCATCATATACATCGTAAAATAATGCACCACCATTTTCAGTTCTCCTAAATCAATATACCTTTATTACACCCTTATCAGGCCTTAACAACGTACTTCATATCATTCATCCCCATCAGCCAATACAGCAAACAGTACCGCCCCCAAAATATGATCAGCTGTTTTCGATTAATCCGACGCTCTCCGTCTGCCCTGTGTGCTGTGCTGGCTCTGTTCCCCTAGCTAGAGCGTCCACGGTGTCGTTCTTTTATAGCTAGCTAACAGGGAATCTTTTACTGTACCAATAAAAGTTTCCATGCAACTCGATCCGTCTTCTCGAATCGATTTCTGGGCTCCCGGTACAGGCAATCCCCAAAATTGGTGACCCCGACACCGGAACAACCTCCGCGCCGGATTACGAACTTTTCTCCGGTGAGCTCGTTCCATTCATTTTTCATATTTTCCGGTTTATTTTTGCATTCGGTAGCCTATTTTTTGCGTCATTATTTTTTTACCCATGGATTCTGTAGAACATATGGTAGTCTGCTTAGCGTTGTATCTCTCTCAGTTCTACCTTTTTGGGACATAGATCCTGTTTTGTGGTTCGCTCATCTTGAGGCTGAGCTTTATAACCGCAGAAGCACTTCCGGCTACGAGAAGTATTGCAAGCTCCTGTCTTATCTCTCCAAGGAGATATCAATGCATGCTCGTTACGTTATCATTTCTCAGACCGAAAACCGCTGTGAGGCTCTCAAGGAAGCCACGATTAAGCGTGTTATGTCCTCTGAGAAAGTTCGCCTGCAGTAGCTTTTCAGGGATCTGCAGCTGGGCGACAAACTGCCCTTAACCCTGCTACGGGAGATGCAGCAACTCCTTGATTCCTCAACCATGGATGAGACTTTACTTCGCGAACTATGGCTACAGCGGCCACCGTAAAACACTCAAGCGATTCTAGCTACAGTGAGCTCCGTTTCGCTCACTTAACTAGCAGACTTAGCGGATCGAGTTATTGAGCGATCACAGCCACAAGCCGAGGCCAGCAAGATGGATGCCGTTGCGTCCCAGGGCACTTTTATCACTGGCTTACAGTCAACTATGGAAGCGCTGCAAACACAAGTTGTGACACTTAGTCGCCAGGTGCAACAGCTTACTATGAACCCTCGTCGTCATAGCCGACCAAAATCGCCGTTCAAACGTTCTAAGTCTAGCAACAAGCAGGCTAGCTGTTGGTACCACCAGCGCTTTGGCACCGCAGCTCGTAAATGTGTAAAGCCTTGCTACTTCGCCGAGCAGAAGGGAAAACTTCTCGGCCGGTCCGTGACGCGACGGACGCAACCGGCCAACACCAAATTCGCCTCCTCCGCGTTAGGGATTTAGCTTCTAGCACCGAGCTTCTAGTCGACACAGGAGCCGAAATTAGCGTTATACCCCCTAGCCCAGATGAGGTCGTCTCACCATCGCTGACCAAGCTGCGTGCCGCCAATGGCACACCAATCGCAACCTTCGGCGAAAAGCTGCTAACGCTCAATTTAGGCCTCCGGCGAACCTTTCGCAGGCCTTTCATGATCGCTGCCGTGCCTTTCGCTGCCATAGGCATAGACTTTCTTCAACGCTTCGACCTCATCGTCGACGCTAAAAGGAAGAAGCTTATCGACTCTAGGACACAGCTCAGTGTTATCGGGACTAGCGCCAATGTGGCTGCTATCACTCCCATTCGTGTCCTACCTCAAGCTTCACAGCCTTATCTAGAACTTTTCAACAAGCATCCTAAACTCGTTTGCGTCCTGAACGACTTGCCTCCTGTGACGTCAAACGTCATGCATCACATCTGCACTAAGGGCCCACCTGTTTCGGCCCGCCCTCGCAGACTAGCCCCGGACAAGCTCAAAGCTGCTAAGGCGGAATTCGAGCAAATGCTCGAACTGGGAATCATCCGCCCGTCCAAAAGTCCATGGGCATCACCATTACACATGGTGCCGAAGAAATCCGGTGACTGGCGCCCCTGTGGTGACTACAGGGCACTTAACAAAGTTACCGTCCCGGATAAATACCCCATTCCGCACATGCACGACTTGACCTCAGCTCTAGCTGGCAAGTCTATCTTTAGCAAACTCGACTTAGTTCGCGCCTACCACCAGATACCTGTCGCGCCTGACGACATTGCTAAAACAGCAGTCCTCACGCCATTTGGCCTATTCGAGTACCTCAGAATGCCTTTCGGCCTCAGCAAAGCTGCCCAAACTTTTCAGCGTTTCATTCATGAGGTAACGCGAGGACTCGAAGGCGTTTATCCTTATTTAAATGACATGCTCATCGCCAGCTCTGCTGACGAGGAGCATCTTCGTCACCTCGACGCTCTCTTCCAACGCTTAACATAGCACAGGGTTACCGTCAACCCCAATAAATGCGAGCTTGGTCAAAGCTCCACTGACGTCTTTGGCCACCGCATATCCGCCTCTGGCATCGAAGCTCTATCAGACTAAATCCAGGCACTGAAGAACTATCCTGCTCCCAGTTCCTTCGAACAGTTACACCGATTCCTTGGCCTGGTCAACTATTATAGACGATTGATTCCTAAATGCGCCAGTATTGTCCAACCAACGACTGAGTTGCTCCGCGGTAAACAACGGTCTTTTCAGTTTGTAGACGACGCTAGACTGTCTTTTGAGATGCTCAAAGACGCTATCTCCAACATAGCGCTTCTCGCCCATCCAGACACGTCCGCAACACTGTCTCTGACAACTGACGCCTCCGGCACTGCCATCCGTGCAGTTCTTCAACAACTCATCGACCATCGATGGATACCTCTAGGTTTCTTCTCGAAACCTTTACAACCTGCCGAATCGCGTTACAGCACCTTCGGTAGGGAACTGTTAGCTATCTACCTAGGTATCAGACATTTCCGTCATTATCTCGAAGGTCGACATTTTACAGTCTTCACTGACCACAAGCCATTGATCTACGCAATCA